CTTCTGGTAAGCCACCAGGAGGGCCGCCGCCCAAGGCGAAACCCAAGGGCAAGCAAGGGGGTGATCTCACTCCCCGCTCTAATGCCATAAGCAAAACTGCAAAAATGACGCCAGCTGAGAAGGCAAAAGTTCCGTGTATGTTCTTTGCGTATAACTGTTGCTACGCCAAGCAATGCGCGTTCTCCCATGATCCGAACAAAAAGTACACGGGACCACCGCCCAAGTCCATCTCTAAAGCCTTCGGCGCCCGCGGCTGTGGCCCCGCTGATTCCGGCGGTCCCAGCCATCACCGATAGTAAGGTGACTTGGCTGTGGGATACTGCAGCTGGCAGGCATCTCATTGGGCGGCAAGCCCTCAGCAGTGTGATGCACAAGTGCGTCCGGCCGAGTTCGACACCCGTCGGATTCGCGACCGGTGGAGGTGCGCAACAGGGGAATACGTCCCTAGCCTTCCAGGACAGCAATGTCATCCCTCCGGATGAACAAGTGTATGTCCTCAAGGAGTGCCCTCCAGCACAATCGATCGGCAAAACGGTCGTCGACCAAGGTCACTTGTTCGTTTGGGACCCAAGGGAGGATGTGCCATATCTCGTTCCACCCGATGACATCTCAAGATGCACCATCAAGGTCCCACGCCGAGCTCGCATCAATGCAACTCGTGTTGTAGAATATGTGCCCCAGTATGACGAAACCGTCATCCCAAAGCTTGCTGATCAGCCATCCAATCTACAGCCCGTCGAGGCCGCAGCCAGTCCAGGCGCGGCGGTGGATGGAGACGATGCCGTATCCGTTGCGGATGGGGAACTCTTCGAAGCAGGACCTCCTCCGATACCACCGCCAGAAGCACCGCCGGTCCCACCACACCGGGACGATGAGGTGCCGCTTGCAGAGCTAGCCGATGGCGAGCCAAGCGATGAGAGGGTACTCCGGGCAGCAGCCAACTCTCCCGAGCACCTTCGATCACACTTCCCAAAGAATCCATTCTGTCGGATATGTGCAATTGCTAAGAACACCGCAGCGCGTGTTGCTCGCAAACCCGATGGTCGTGCCGATGACGGGATCGACAATCCTACTGCCCCGTTTCAACAGCTCGCCACTGACAGTGTCATCCTTGCGAAAGGAGATGAACATGCGGGCATTGGAGTCGGAGGGATTAAATCTCATCACGTCATCAGGGATGTTTTCTCTGGAGCAAGGATTGCATATCCTTTTTTCCCTTTGGGACACAGCAGCCCATTCCAAAAATCTAAGGCACTTCCTAGGTTTGAAAGCCAACGAGCTCTCTCCGACATGTCTAGTCAAAATGGATGAAGCTGGAGAGCTTGAAGCGGCAGCTCATGAGGTCGGATTAACACCCGAAACCTCGTTGCCGAACCGATGGCCCCACAATGCCAAGTTGGAAAGGGACATTAGGGAAGAAAAGGAATGTTGCAGATCCATCCACCTCCAGAGTGGGTTGCCATACGATCTACACACTCACTCCTATCCCTTTGCGTGCCTCTCCATGTCATTCGACAGACCTGCAACATTCGACAAGGCTAAGACCCAATGGGAAGCCTTGACAAAGTCGAAGTTCGATGGCATTGAGCATTGCTTTGGTCAGCTTGTCTATTACCGTAAAAAGGGCATGAATAAGCGCACTCTAGAACCCAACTTGGCACCTGCTTTGTTCTTGGGCTGGACGGTTGACGCAGGCCTTCGGTATCGCCATGTGGTCAAGGTCCTAGATTATCAAGAATTTAGGACTCGTCGAGCGATTGTAGTGCATGATGTCCCGGAAGCAGAACTCTTCGTTGATGAAGGTGAGCCTTGCTTCCCCGTTGCGGCAGCAGCCTACAAGGCGCTGCGGACGGGGGAAGCCGAGGGTGAGCTCCCAGAAGTCGCTCTTAAAGAGGTTCCGTTTAGCGAAGTAGCTGCACCGCCGACTCCCGCTCCAGGCACGCCGCGAGGCGTGTACATCACTGTGGATCGGATAATTCGGTTCCGTGAAACACCAGGTTGTCGAGGTTGTACTGGGCGCACCCCCGGTACCATACCCCCGAATGTCGACGCCGCTTCGCAAGGCTTGTCACAGAGAAAGCCGAGGATGCCGTCGAGGTAGAGCGGTCACTTCGCCCCTCCGAAGCGATTGACCCAGTTCATGCAGCCGAGGAGGCACGTCTCGAAGAAGACGATGCCGACCTTAAAAAGGCACTTGAGCTTTCCCGCCTTGAAAAGGCAGATCTATCTGATCCCGATGAGCTCGAGAAAGCACTGAGGGCATCCGAAGAACATGATGATGACGTGAGACTGGCTAAAGAACACATCGATCTTGAAACCAATGACGGGGATGAGCAACTGACCGCTCAGTTGAAGTCTTGTTGCAAGCCTAACATGTGGGCAGCCATTCCGTGCACCTCCGGGTCGCCATGGCAAAGGCTAAATGTCCATAAGTATGGCAATAAATACAAGCAGTATCTCCGTGCACAGGTTAAAAGATCGGAGGCGTTGCTCGCAAGGTTCACAAAGCACGCCGAAGTAGTGATAGAACAAGAGGGTCACGTCACTTTCGAGTGGCCTCGCGACTGCGAGGGATGGGAGCGCCCCGACGTAAAGGCATTCTTCGAGAAGCATGCGTCTCGCTTCCACTCAGTGACTTTCCACGGGTGTGCAGTAGGTTTGACTGACAAGGAAGGGACTCCCATCAAGAAGTGAAGGGGCGTATAGTATACCGAGGGGACTGTGCGCGGGACGAATATGGGGCGGCGGCCGTTTATCAAGAACTCGGCGCCAACCCTACGTCCGTTCAGGGTTTGAACAACTGCCTTGCCTACGGCTCACTGCCAGGTCACAAAACCACGGCGGCAGATGCCGTAAAGGCATATATCCAGGCCCTACTTCGATCTCAACACCAGACGTGGATATCATTGCCGCCGGAACTTCGTCCGAAGTGGTGGAAAGAAAAGTTTATAAAGCCGGTAGTCCTTCTAGTAAAAGCACTCTACGGTCACCCCGACGCGGGGGGGCTATGGGAGCAGCACTTCAAGAAGATCTTGAAGGAGCAGACCGGAGAGGAGATCCAAGAATTTCCAGGAAACTTTTACTTCCCCTCAACCGGCTTAATGCTGTCCACTTATGTGGATGATCTAACACTTTCAGGGCCGGCAGAGCAGCATGATCCCTTTTGGGAAAAGCTGATGTCATGTGTTGATATTGAACCCCCAGAACCGATATATCGTGTTTTGGGAAGGAATCATGTCATCATTAACGCCCCGAAGTGCGAGCCTAATCCAGCCGAGAGCGCAGCCTTTGGCGCGCTGTCTAACGCAATGGCTTTTGATATGGTTGACTACGCCAAACAAACTGTTGATCTATATGTCTCCATTTCAGGTCAGCCGATTAGTAAGCTCCGCAAGGCATTGACCCCATTCTGTCCAGAAGGGTCATTGCCAACACAAGATGATGCCGAAGGAGGTGAATTGAGCTCAGCCGCTTGTAAAATCTTGATAAAGGCCTTGTGGTTGGGACGTCTTGCACGTCCAGACATAATCAAGCCCATCGGGGATCTTGCAACGTGCGTTCAAAAATGGTCGCGTAATAATGATAGGCAGTTGGCTAGGCTAATAGCTTACATTAACACGACCACAACGCACAGGTTGGTTGGCACAGTTCAAGACGATCCCAGAGAGCTGCATCTTGCGCTCTACGTCGACGCTGACTTTGCAGGAGAGGAGGGGGCTAAGTCTACATCAGGGGGGTTTCTCGCCCTGAAAGGCCCGAATTCCCACTTCCCTTTAGCATGGATTAGCAAGCGCCAAACTTCTGTGTCGCGTTCCACTACAGAAGCAGAGATTGTGTCGTTAGCATTTTCTTTGTATCAGGAGGGACTCCCAACACTTAGTCTGTGGGATCGACTATTGGGTCGCCCAATGACCCTCAGGATCCATGAAGACAATCAAGCTACTATTCTGGTTGCAAGGAAAGGGCACTCTTCGAAGTTGCGATCAATTTCTAGGACACATAGGGTTAACCTAGCATCCCTTGCAGAACAGTTACAGGAAGGCACTGGAGTAGAGCTTGAGTATGTGAAGACCGATTTCCAAGCTGCCGATATCTTTACCAAGGCTTTGCCTCCACATACGTGGGATCACGCCTTGAGGCTCCTGGGAATGCGCACAGACCTCCCAGAAGAGCTAGAAGATACTCGATTCAACATCAAAAAGTAGAAAGTCATTCCGAAAGTAGTGCTATGAGTACTAAAAGTGCCAAAATATCCTTCATCCTTTTAAAGCCTTGATGACCAGGGAGCAGCGTATCGCGCTCCAAAGCAAAAGCTTACCCTGCCTTAGTGCGCACGGCGAGGGGGGAGTCAAGAAATAACGACCCCTTTGCCCCCAAAGGCATGGTAACTTGCCTAGTTGTGTGTTCACTGGTGTGAGGTTTGCATGAGGCCACTTTGGTTTAGGTTGAGGGTTGCATGACATGACAAACTTGTCAAACGGCAAACGCCGTTTGGCTCAAGCGCTCAACAAGAAAAAGAGCGCTGAGTGCGGGACTAGAGTTTAGAAACCACCCCCTGAACCGCTGAGGGATTAATCACGGTCAATCCACCTCTTTTTGTTCGGGGCGCAGCCTTTGGCGCGCGTTTGGGGTTTCTTGCTCTTTTGACGGCTTTGTTTCGGTGGCTTGCAAGGCCAAGACGCGGAACACAATTCGTGCTTTCTTTGTAGCCCTTTTCACATGCCGGCGATCCACCCAGCGCTTTTTGGAAACCACGCCATAGGTTCCCAGATGACATACTCCCAAAACCAAACCAACAAACAATCAAAGGAAAGAAAGACAAAGCAACACGCACACACACACACACATTTGGAAGGACCAGGGAGAGCACCTTTTTTGCTACTATTTTGGATTGCACTTCTTGCCCGCGTTTCCTCACACAGTTTGCTGCGCTGCCACCTTGTTTGAGGAATGCTCAGCTGCTAGAGGCTGCACGAGTGGTTGACTGGCGCCTCGCCGAGGTATGTGCCATGGATCAAGAGCGACTTCGTGAGGGACGCTGGGCTGAAAGCCTCGGGCTAGATACGGGTATGGATCGGGGATGGTTTGATGACTTGATCCTTCTCTCAGCCCAACTCGTCAAATTTGCAAGCTTCAATCGGACATGGCGCACGAATGAGCCCCCTTTTTCGCATGGCATTGTAGCAACCAAGCTCGACTACAGCTTGTTCGTAACATATTTTGCACACTGTGGTGATGCGGGTGCGGTGATTCGTGGTGAGCAAGGAATCACTCTTTCTAAATTTCAGCTCTTAAACGCTGCTTTGGCCCACTTCTGGACCCCTTGCCAAACCTTGCAGCTGCATCTTTGCGATGATCTCTACGGGTTGAATTGCTTGGAACAAGTCCTGGCACATCTCTCTGATTACCGTGAAATGTACCAATAAGATTCAAGGGCAATCAGCACCACGCAGGGAAGGCCAGCGTTGCCATGCCGCCCGGGCTGCGAGCCGCAGGAGAATCGCTGTCACGAGATCGCGGAAGAGCTCCGGCGCCAGATCGCCAGCATCGGCGGGGATGAGAACATGCCTCACCTCGAAAGGAGCGACCGGCCCTTGTGATCCCCCAGCTTGCCGCGCTGAGCTTGGGGTTACCTTGTGAGCCCTGACTCTTCAGATGAGGGGAGTGCAGTTGGGGCTGCATATGGTTGAGGCTCGCAGGTGGAACAGAGGCTGGCAATGAGGGAGGGGCGTTGTAGATGGGTTGGATTGGCAACCTGCCGGTGGAGTGCCATCCAGGATGTTTCGCCGGCTGCAGCACACTCAGCCATGAGGCGTGGCCAATTCACAAGGGATTGACTTGATGGCAGTGTTCCGAGACTTTGTTTCTGTGTGTGTGTGTGCGTGTTGTGTGTGCGTGGTGTTTGTTACTCGGTAGGGAGTTGGACCGTGTCATGTTCACGCGCCATGACCCTAAGCATCTCATGGAATTTTGTTGCGGTTCACCTGTGTTAAAAGCAACAACCGCAATCGAAAGGGCTTGAACCCGCACTTGAATTGGAATCTCAAGTGCTGCGCCCTTGCATGAGCCGTGTGCATTCACACCGCTTGCCATTTTGGCGAACAGATCTTTTCATTCCCACCCTCCCTCACCCCTTTTCACTGCATGCCTCCAGTACCTATCGGTCACTGAATTCAGCATTGATCGAGCGGACGGGAGAACGTCCACTCCCTTCTGATACCTTGCTGTACAACATTTTGATTTGCGTGCTTTTGGCATTTGCTTACCTTTATTCAGTTGTACTTTATTTTCGAGTCAGTGGTGTCTGAGAGACACCGACATCGACTCCAGAGAAAGAATGCTGATCGACCAACAGGTACGATCCCACCCACCTGAGGCATTGTGGTGAAGACAGTCAGACCGACGCTGGTTGCTGTCGAATTCTCTGGAGCGTTTCGTTGTCGAGGCGTCAGCTTCACAAAAGTGCTTGCTGTCCTTTGTGCTTGAATGTCTTGGGATGTCCTCCCGCCCGATCAGATTTCCTCGCCCGCGAGCACAAGCATGGGAATTCAACTGGGCAGCTGAGCGGGTCAGGCGCAAACAAAGCAGCGGCGTGTAGCTTAGGGGGCCATTGCCAGGCAATGTCCGTGAGCTCAGGCAGGTTTTTTGCACAGACCCGGAGATTTGCAGGTCTCAATGTGTCAATGAGTGATGGGCTTTGCGTCAGGCGGTAGCCTTTGCAAACACATCGGGTTTCGTTTTCCGAAAAACATCCGAGCTCAAGTTTCACTGGGGTGCAAGGCGTCGTGGCCAAGCACAGCTTAGTTCAAGCTCTTTTGTTTGGCCGATAGACGCCCAGAGTCACATCTACGCTTGGGTGGTTGTTCGGGATTGTTGGCCTTGACCAGTGGCGTGGATCGTGGGGAGCCGCTTGTATGGCGTCAATGTATCAGATGGCAAACTAGTAATTACAATGCGTTTGACCTCCCAATCATCAGCACTGGCAACGTCTTCAACATGGGCATTATGAAACAGTCAACGAATCGTATATTGACCCAAGCACCTCGCCCCGTACAGATGATGTCATTGTGGGTTTCAATTTCTCAGAGTCAAACACCTTTGGTTCCCAGACGCTTCTTACATAATACAATTGTGTCAGTCTCTGAAAGTTCCCACCTGGGTCACCTGGGGTCAGTTGATCGCAGAGCGCCTGAGCGCCTGCTCCCCAGTGATCGCCGGCCGGGGAGTCGCGCTGGCGAGCGGAGGACAGAGTGGGAAAGTCTGGTGTTCGTTCCGCGGGTTCCTGAAGCTTTCTCGACGGGTGTGATGTCAGCCACCCGGGGGCCAAGAGCAGGGTCTGCAACTTGTGTGAACCGATGCGAGTGTGATGGCTAAGCAAGGGTAGGTGCACTCGTTCCTGAAGTTCGTTCCCTCAATTTTGGGGAAAGAAAGCTCTTGCACTAGCTAGAGGGGACCACAGCAATTCCAACTGTTTGAGACAGGGGTATCAGCTTGTCATTTTCCAGCCTACCAACAAGTTGACACTAGGCGATGCGCGTTGGCCTGAACATCGTTTGGATCTAGAAGGCAATGCCTCAGCTGTGTGTTGCGTTCTCTGCGATTGGTGGCTGCTGGCATGAGGGCTTGCCAGCACTTGCTAGAGATCTGAAACCGACGTTCCTCCCAAAAGTTTCGGCCCCTATCTTCCAGCTTAGCTTTATGTGCGCTAAACTATGATGTGATTGGTCTGTGTTGCTTTTGTTCTGTGCATACAGCCAGGCAGATTGGGCACAGTAATGTGCTTTTTCTATCTGGAAACACGATCAACGTTTGGCAAACACTGGCCCCCTCGGCCCCTTCCAAGGGCAATTTTTGCGTGTTGGCCAGCTGAGTTGGGCAGATTTGCGGTCAGAAGGGAGGATGCAGGCTGATTCATGGTTGTGGCGCTTAATCCAAAGAACCCGCCTGCAGCCCAAAACCAACTCTACCCAAGACCGACCTCACCAAGGCCAAACTTGGGCCCAAACCTTTCACTCACTACCCCCTCCAAATCTACTTTGAGAACGAGTTTTGATCTCAGGCCTCACTCGATGAAGCCGGTGGTGAGCCAGTGCCAAGCAAACCAAGTCCCAACGCCCTATGCCGACACATGGCCGCGCTTAGCCCGGCTCAAGCGGGTTCCGGTCGCGTCCCCCCTTCGGCCCAGGAACCTCTGGGTCAGTCGCGAGCCCTTGAGCCCAACCTCAGGGAAGCCAGGAGAAGCAGCCCGGCGAAGCCCGGTGAAGCAGCCCTCGACTGAAAGCAGCGTCTCCTGAGCACAGACCTACCGAGTGTCACTAGACAACATCCCAAGGTGATCAGTTCTCCCTGCCAAGTTAGAATGTGAGCCCTCCTGCGCAATGCCGCTGGGACAGCATGGCTGGGCAGGCCGGCAGGGCCACTGTGTTTGCGGCTTTTGGACACCGACTCGACTGCTTGTGGGGAAGCTCATGGTCCAATTTCACGGTTTGAGTTGCAACTCTGCTGCAATTGCGTCGCTTCAACTCGGCACTTGCCGTTGGTCTGAGTCACCCTCCCTTGGAGCCCGTTACCTTTGCTGCTAGTGGATGCTATACTTGCCTGAGTGCGCTTAATTTGGTTCAACCTTTCGCGGGTAATCTTGTCTACAACCCCCACCAGCACCGCGAGTAAAGCGAGGAGAGCAGAAAGGGGAGACAGGCTGGGCATCAAATCAACTGGAACTTATCATCGGGATTGTTTGCATGGGTGGTTTCTCATGACACTCGGCGAGTGACTTTCAGAACCTGTTGAGTGTGCCAAGGTTAGCCGGATGGCTGCGAAACGGCTTTCTTGCCTGGGCTCAGAGCAAAGATTCCAGAAGGGCAAGTCCAGCACCCTTCCTCCCACTGGCTGCTGACAGAGGGTCCCTTGAAAAGGAACTTGATCTTCTAGGTACCCTCCCACAGATGCTGTGTAGTCTTGGTTTGGACAATTGGAGTCTTGACCTTGGAGCCTTGTTGGCTGAGTTGGACCATGCTTCATGAAGCCATGCCAGGCTCACCACGGAGCTGGGAGCACAGACGGAGCCATCATGGAGGCGCGGTTGCTCGGTTCTTGCCTTTGCGTTCGCAGGCGCGAAGGTTGCCCTTCGTTCTTCCAAGTAGATGCACAGAGGTCAAATGGGTGCAACTGAGGGTTGCCAAGTAAGCCTTCGGACAGTCCAGTGACCTAAAGTCGCCCGAAAACAAATCAATCCCAAACCCAAGGAAGAAAGAGCGCATAACTGCAAACACCGAGGGTTGCAGCGCTTGTTTGCACATTCTTTTGCTTTTGGGCAGCTTTGCATCCCTAACGTTGCTTGCACAGTCTGAGTCAACAGCATGAAACGCCTCGGATTTGGGGCCCTGGGCGGAGGCTGGGCCTTGGGCCAGGCCGTGGTGCGGGTAAACCGCTACCGCCACGCGCCCGCCGTGTGGGGCTCAAGTTGCGGGATGACGGTGAGAGGAAGGATCGACACAAGGACCACGAAATGAGTGCAGTTCCGTGCGTTGATGCTTGGATTTATGAGGATGGTTTGAGGTTCGAGTGCCCCGGACACATGAGTGAGACTAATTAGACTCGTGCCATCTTCAAGATACATGGAAGCGGAGATTTGCCTGCGACCCATCTTGAGGCTTTCATTTAGAGAAAGTGGGTTGCAGGAGCCTGGGAGCGGTGATCAGGATGTAGCTGTATAAGGTAGCGTGCGAGCACATGCAGTTCTTGGGTGCGGCTCTTGCAACTGGCTTTTAAGCATTGTAGGAGGGCTGATGGGAACTTAGTTCCTTGCCTTTTGGCGGCAATTGATGAAGAACCCCCTATTTGAGGACACTTCAAAGCCCAGAAGTTGGGAGAACCCATTTGGGTCAAATAGAGCACCAGCAGTCCAGTTATTTCCAATGCCTTCTTTGAGCTCCGGCATCAGGGAAGACAGCCCCCGGCCGAAGAGCTGGACCAAGAGGCAGAGGCTGGCCCGTCTGCGCATCAGACTTTGGACATTTTTGCCCGGTGAGCGCGGCATTGGTCAATCGTAGTCATCTAGGTTCCTTGGCTGCTACTGCTACTGCTGCTTCTGTTTGTTTGTTTGTTTGTTTGTTTGTTTGTTTGTTTGTTTGTTTGTTTGTTTGATGGTTTGATTGTGTGTTTGTTTGTTTTGGTTGGTTTGTTTGTTTGTTTTGAGTTGTTTTTGTTTTTTGTTTACTAGTTTGTGTTTTCTTTTGTTTGTTTGTTTGTTTGTCTGTCTGTCTGTTTGTTTGTTTGTCTGTTTGTCGTTTTTTTTGTTCTGTTTTTGTTTTTTGTTTTTGTTTGTTTGTTTGTTTGTTTATTTATTTATTTTGTTTGATTGTTTGTTTGATTGTTCATTGTTTTGGTTGTTTGTTTGCTTGTGTGTTTGTTGTTGTTCTGTGTTTGTTTGTTTGCTTGTTTGTTTGTTTGTTTGTTTGTTTGTTTGCTTGCTTGTTTGTTTGTTTGTCTGTTTGTTTGTTTGTGTGTGTTGTTTGTTTGTTCATTTTTTCGGTTGTTTGTTTGCTTGCTTGTTTGATTGTTTGTTTGTTCATTTTTTTGGTTGCCTGCTTGCTTGCTTGTTTGTTTGTGTTTGTTTGCTTGTGGTTGTGGTTGTGGTTGTTGGTGGTCGTGGTGGTGGTTGTGGTGGTGGTGGTGGTGGAAGTGGTGGTGGCGGCTGTTGTTGTGGTTGTGGTTGTGGTTGTGGTTGTTGTTGTTGTTGTTGTTGTTGTTGTGGTTGTTGGTTGTTGGTTGTTGGTTGTTGGTTGTTGCTTGTTGGTGGTTGCTTGTTGGTGGTTGCTTGTTGTGGTTGTTGTGGTTGTTGTGGTTGTTGTGTTGTTGTTGTTGTTGTTGTTGTTGTTGTTGTTGTTGTTGTTGTTGTTGTTGTTGTTGTTGTTGTTGTTGTTGTTGTGGTTGTTGTTGTGGTTGTCGTAGTTGTTGTGATTGAGGTGATTGTTGCTGTTGTTGGTTGTTTGTTGCTGGTTGTTTGTTGTTTTTTGTTTGTTGTTCGTTGTTCGTTGTTGGTTGTTTGTTGTTTGTTGTTTGTAGTTTGTTGTTTGTTGTTTGAAGTTTGCTGTTTGCTGTTTGTTGTTTGTGGCTTGTGGTTTGTGGTTTGTTGTTTGTGGTTTGCTGTTTGTTTGTTGCTTGCTGTTGTTCTTTCTGTTGCTCTTGCTGTTGCTTTCACTGTTGCTCTTGTTGTTGCTCTTGCTGTTGCTCTTGCTGTTTCTCTTGCTGTTGCTCTTGGTCTTGCTGTTGCTTTTGCTCTTGCTGTTGCTCTTGCTGTCGGTGTTGGTGTTGCTGCCGGTGTTGGTGTTGGTGTTGGTGTTGGTGTTGGTGTTTGGTGTTGGTGTTGGTGTTGGTGTTGTTGTTGTTGTTGTTGTTGTTGTTGTTGCTGCTGCTGCTGCTGCTGCTGCCTGCTGTTGTTGTTGTTGTTGTTGTTGTTGTTGTTGTTGTTGTTGTTGTTGTTGTTGTTGTTGTTGTTGTTGTTGTTGTTGTTGTCGTTGTTGTCGTTGTCGTCGTTGTCGTCGTTGTCGTCGTTGTCGTCGTTGTTGTCGTTGTTGTCGTTGTTGTCGTTGTTGTCGTTGTTGTCGTTGTTGTTGTTGTCGTTGTCGTTGTCGTTGTCCTTGTTGTTGTTGTTGTTGTTCTTCTTCTTCTTCTTCTTCTTCTTTCTTCTTCTTCTTGTTCTTGTTCTTGTTCTTGTTTTTCTTGTTATTGTTGTTCTTGTGCTGTGCTCCATGTCAATCAGCACATGAGGGCTCACATCTTGCCATATCAACTGCTGGCTCACAGGTTATTAGGCACTTGGGGTTTGATGTCATCAAGTTGGGCTTTGGATGCTTTATAAGAATGTCAGCCGCCTGGTTGCCGGGGCCACGATGCCAGGTTCAGGTTGACCCTCAGGAGAATCAGCCAGAGGAGAATCAATCAGAGACCTGCCTTGAGGCAAGTTGGGAGCCCGAAGGGTTTCAGTTGAGCGGGCAGCGGCGCTGGAAGGGCGAAGCAGGCTGCTACTTTTTGCAGACTTTTTGAGATGGCAGAATTGCTAGAGTATCACGCTTTCCTTGCATAGATGATCGTGGGAACGCACCCGCTTCAAAATATTCAAAGCATTTCGCCTGCACTAGAATACAGCCTGGCATTTATTTGTGAACAGCACGTGGACAGGTTTGCGTTCCTTTACACGTTTCCTTTTCTTGCCAGGTGGGCGTATGTTGGTGAATGGACCACACTTGCGGGTTTTGGTTTGTTCTGGACTCGCGGGCCAACGTTTTGTTCTGATTCCAGAGGCGCGCAACATCGCTGGTACCGCGTCACCCGAGATACCTCTCAAAGCCAGCGGGGGATGAAACAGCTGAGAATTCAATGGGCATGAATCTGTGATTCCTCGATGTGCTGAAGGATTTTTTGCGATAAGGTTGGCCAAGGCAGAAGTGTCGGTTTGGCGGCAAGGAGGAGGAGGAAGAGGATGCCGTTGAGCTGGAGACGTACCAGGCCGGATGTCCATTTTCCCCAAATGCCATGGAAAAAGGAACTCTGAAGGGCGCGCCAGCACTATGTGTTTCCACTCGACTTACGAGAGAAGTTGTGGGAAACAGTTAAGTGCATCAAGTGTCATACAGGGCGCATGCCCTGACTGCTTGCCATTTTCCATTGCTTTGTGTGGTGCAATGCGGGGGGGCTTCTCTTCATCCTCCTCCTCTTCAGCCTCCGCCTCCTCCTCCTCTTCCTCCTCCTCCTCCTCCTCCTCCTCTTTCATTTCGTTTTCTTGCAACCAAACCAAGGGTCATATGCCCATAAGAGATTCACAGGGGTTCCCTTCACGTGGCTGAGAAAGCGCAGCTGTGCGCCGCTCGGCCGCAGGAAATCTTGGAAGCGTTCAGCTCAGATGAGGAGTGCATGGAGGCGTGCCCGCCTGGAAAAGGGGGGAAGGTGGGTGGCACGTTGTCCAGGCTTCGCTAGCATGTATGGGCAGCCCGCCAGTTGAGCAGCAGAGGCAAAGTGCGGTGACTAGCGGTCACTCTTGCCCCAAGTGTGCTGCAACAAGCACGAAGTTTGTGGTCAGAGCGATCAAAGCGCTGGTCGGTGAAAATGGGAGCAGCAAGATGATCTCTACTGTGTATGAGTTGCCCGCGCAAATACGTTTTACGGAGCCTGCAACTGGTCCTGCTCCAATACTGACACCAGGACTCGTTCGGGCTCGCAGCAGACAACTGAAAGCTGTTTTGATCTGCTGCAAGCGCCCTTCATCACGGGCAGAGCACCTCACTCGTGGTAAAGCCTAGAAGACAGTGGTGGCCAGCCAGCAACCCCAAGAACCCCAAGGAAATTGACCCGTCTAATCAATGGATGCGGCATAAAATGCAATCCCCTGCAAAAGGGGCGCCTGTGAGGTATTGCATTTTTCCCGCTCATGTTTCGTGGGCGTCCATCTCGAGACTTTGGCACGTCACCCATCAGACTCCCCGTTGGCGTGGATCTCTGATCTCCGGATTCCACAGGCAGAGGCCGACGTCGAGGAGGTGGAAGATGATGCAGGCGAGGAGGCTGAGGCTGAGGAGGATGTGGCCGAGGCAGCCGAGGAAGACGCGGAAGAGGCCCGAGCGAAAGGAGGAACGAAGAGATGGGGTTGGAGAGGGGTTGTGGCACGCTCTGAAATGGGCGGTATGGGATTGAGCCCTTTTGAAACTGCGCTGAACCATTCTACGTTTCTGTTGGTGCTTATTCACTTTCGCTGTTTTTAAAATGACCATAGTTTTGTGAAGCGAGCTGTGAACCAGCACTTTCAGGTTTGCAGCACTGCCAACGCTCGGACCCATGAGACCCATGACAGCCTCCAACATTTTTACCACCTTGGCGAACCTTTACAGCTGTTTTTTTGAGCATGCGTTTTCTTTTGTTGAGTTGCACTAGGTTCAATGATTCGCAGTTCCAAAGGTTAATCAAGAGCCAAGCGTTGCAATTCTTCGGCTGCCCGTCAACGGAGCTCCGATCTCAGGGCTCCGTGGATGCCAGAACAACTACTGAGGCCCAGCGAGGGGTTGGGATGGGTGTGGGTTGAAGAAGAAGCGAGGTTCCGGCAGTTCAAAGAGCGAGCCTCTGGAATAGTTTGCAGTGGTGAAAAGCAGACCTCTTTGTTTTTGCGGAAGTCATGTGAGATGATTCGACGTTTTGCTATTCATAAACAGGCGCACCCTGCATGACCATTGAGCCAATGTTGCTGATGATCCATGTCGAACCTAGGATATGTGGGGGTTGATGAATATTGGTGCCCCCCAAATGACGAAGGGACACTGTTCCCATTTGGTGGACATATCATCCTTTTGCGGCTTTTCACAATGGTGATCCCATGTAAGGACCTTTTGATCAACCCCCATGTAGCTGCTCGATACTGCCTTTGCATTTTGATGGATCGTTAACAGCATAAATAACAGTTTCAGAACCACCAATGAGGGAGTGACATCTCAGAAAATCCAGCAGTGCAAGTGAAGTTCGAACTGTACGACTGGCAATTTGGATGGGACATGTTTTTTCTTGTCTTTTTTAGTTTGTCTTTTTGTCTTTTCACTGCACCATCAATACTTGATGATTGCATACATATACCAACACACAAGCTATAAGCTACGTATTCAATGACATACACAGTTTGGTTGACATGGAGTTGAGTTAGGACACTGTTGAATGAACAGCGAATTGATTTTGTCATGAAGCGGCTCCTTTGCTTCAACGCGTTTGCATCTTCAGGCCGTGCCGGAGACCTTGGACTCGATTTCTGTGGAAGCCGGGGCGCCAAGTTTTTTCGCCGCCCTGGTTCGGATGGGCAGTCGGCCGGACTGGACGTCGGGTTTGCTGGTCCCGGAGGTGAGCCAGCGCTTAGGCAGGCCCCACGCCGGCCGACACCGCGCCGGAGGCGCGAGCGCGCGGCCTTCGACCTCGGAGCATCTCGGAGTGTCGGAGTCTCCGCTCGCATGTCCGACCTGCGGCTAGATGTTGTGCCTGGGTGACCGGAGCAATTTGCATGCAAAGCGAATTTTCACAAGGGCCTACTTGGTCGGCCGCCCGATGTTGCGTTATGGAGTTTGCGAAGCAGAAACAGCCAGCTCAGTTATGTGAAGGATGCTCGTCCGCATCGCATGCGGAATGCTTTCGGTTTAGTCCTTCGTGCTGTCCATTCCACTGGTTGGAAGTAACTTCTTTGCCTTTATCTTGGGACAGCAAGAGCAACTTTCGCTTGAATCGCCTCGGGTGGACCCAGCAGCCCAATGATCGGGCTTTGCCAAGCAAATTGACCATACGGACCATACGTCACTCGTCTGGCTTGCATGCGGGAGTTGTCATGCTTTGGGACGCATCTTTTGTTTGGGAAGGTATCAAGCTATGAGACTGCGCCAAATGGCTGCTCACTGTTTGCCTGCGTCACAGCGAGCCAACAAGTCCAGATGTTCACAGCAAAGCCTCACAGCAAGCGAGGTTGACGAGGAGCTCAGCGACTCTGAAGAGGCTGGAATGTGTCTGAGTCGGCCTTGTGCACTTTGGTTTGGTGGGAAGCCCGATGGTCCCAACTCTTTACGGGGGAAGCAACGCCCAGACACCCCCCAAAAGCATCCCACAGGACTTGGGTTCTGCCGGCTAAAAGCTTGCAGCAGGCCAGTCTGCTAGATTAAAGCTACTTCGGGCACAAACAAGAACACAAACAACAAAAAAAGAAGAAGAAGCAGAAGAAGACGAAGAAGAAGAAGAAGACCACCAACACCACCAACACCATCAACACCACCGACACCACCAACACCACCGACACCACCAAAAACGACGACGACGACGACGACGACGACGACGACGAGGAGCAGCAGCAGCAGCAGCAGCAGCAGCAGCAGCAGCAGCAGCAGCAGCAGCAGCAGCAGCAGCAGCAGCAGCAGCAGCAGCAGCAGCAGCAGCAGCAGCAGCAGCAGCAGCAGCAACACCAACAAGCAACAGCAAAAGCAACAACAACAACCAACAGCAACAACAGCAGCAGCAGCAGCAGCTGCAGCAACAAGAACAACAACAACACAGCAGCCGCAGCAGGTGCAGCAATGCAACAGCCCTTGGCCTTTTCCACCAACATGCCCTGTTTGCTTGATCGTTGCCTTGTTTGGCCAAACCCAAGCCCGACCCTTCTTTGTTCTGCCTTTTCAGGAGCCTGAGATTGACCTCGAGGAGTACGAGATCTCTGACGAGGTTAGTGGCTTTTTTGGGGTTGGGGCAGGGTTGGGAGAGCTTCCAAGGGCGGCGCGGCAGAACTTCCAGATGAGCGCATGAGAAACTAGCATCAAGGCTCGCTGAGGCAGAGAAAAGTGTGGAAAGCATATCCCGATTGATGAGTGGCCCGTTCTTACAAGAAATGGATTGGAATAGAGCAGTTTGCGAGTGCTGGAAAATGCCCTTTCCGCGACTCTACTACTTTGGCAGTTCATCCATTCTTCCCTTGGAGCATGACAGGGGGCCCCTTTTCAGTGTTTCCAAAATGGGTTAGGATTGGCAGCCATCCATTTGGAACACCCAAGATTCTGATTTGGTAAGCTCGTTGGAGCAGTTGGGGTAAGGGAAAAGTGCCACAGGGAGCATTTTTGGCCGTGGCAATGAGGATGAGCCTGAGATGAGCGTTTGTCGAAAGCCATGATTAAACACATGTTCGGAAATGAGTGCTTCCGAACAATGCCAAAACATTTGGGAACGATGCGGTCGACAGAAATGGCCGCTGCTGCTGCTGCTGCTGCTGCTGCTGCTGCTGCTGCTGCTGCTGCTGCTAACGCTACTACTGCCGCTACCGCTGCCGCTCGCTGCTACTACCAGCGCCAGTACCAGTACCAGTCACCAACAAAAGCGTACATTTCGAGCCGGAACTGCGCGTCCCTTATGTGCTACACTTGTTTAGTGAAAGCTGCAGCGTTCGATTTGGAGCTTCCAAGGTGTGCTTCATACATTGTATCTGAACTGCAAAACTGTGACGTTCGTTCTGGAGCTGCCAAAGTGTGTGTTGTGTACTACGCTTGTGCTGGAAATGTTTCAAGCTGGAGCTGCGAGAGTTTAGTCCGCGTGATTCAGCCAAGGTGCAGTTTGTCGCTAAGGCTCTAAGGATTGGACACACATAATGAAAGCCGTCAGGAACGAGAGGGTCGACAAGCAAAAGTGTCTGCAAAGCAGTGTCCTTGCGCAGCTATGAGAGGCTTTGACCCTGGCTCGTGAGTACTCCCATCAGTTGCGGAAATGGACAATCCCAGCTGCGGACAAAAACAAATGCCAAATTCCAAGCAACAAGCAAGGCCATACCACCAGCGACCAAGCAGAAGCTTAGCCAAAAGCGGCGTTTTTTGTGTGGGTGTGACACGGCGTGAGGATGACCAGGATGACCAGGACGACCAAGAGCTGGTGGACATCAGCGACGTGGAGGAGGACGACTTCGATGACTTCGACGGGGAAGACTTCGAGGCCGAGGGTCCTCTGGTGTTCGGAGACGGAGGGGCGGAACCCGGCAGCTTGGCCGGTTCAAACGGGTCCCAGCCTGTTTCATAAGGAAGGATCTTGGCCCCGGGGTGATCAATTTGCGCATTGTGCAAAGTTATGCAAGGTATTCGGGTTTGATGGGAGCAGTCCACTGAATTGGTGGGGGCTTCAAGAACCGAGAAGACCTCTCGAATTGCTGGGGCCCAGGCCTTTGGTGCGTTGGATGCTCGCCAGACCTTGCCTTGCAGTGAATGGGCCAGGAGGACATGGACTTGGAGGACTATGAGGAGGCGGGCGTCGGGGTTGCGGGCTCCAAGCTGGGCTGCTAGTCAGGGCTATTTGAGGCCCTTGCGGATTCGGGCGGGAAGGCGCGTTCCTTCGATCCGTGTCAGGATGACCTGGGCGCCCTGAAGCAAGGCTTTACCACCTGGCTGGCCTGCTGGGACAAGGTGCGGGCCGACAGTTGGCTGGTCAGGCTGCAGGGGCCTCTGGTTCGCAGGAGTTGCTGGATGTTTGACATCAGCAGGAGTGGTCACAATGACAGATTTTATGGAACAGCGACCAAACATGTATAACGCTGACAGGTTTTACCCGACAGCATGTCTATTCAGGTGTTTGACATGGCTCCCAATATTGCCCTTCTTGAACATCACTACTGCCAAAAGGAAACTCATCTTGAATTGGCCCGAGGTCGAATGTCCATGTCCTCTGAAACGCCCCGTGCCCACAATGCAAGGTGCACACCATCTTGAATTGGCCCAGGTGATGTTCAAGCCGCTCAAAATCTCGGGGAAATCTAGGGAACCTTTGAGTTGGAACCCTTGAGTCAAACACCCTACCAAATCCAAAGAAGGTGGAGTTGGCTTTTTTTTCCGCCCCCGGCCATCGCCCCTGTCGTCCCAGGGGCTGCCGAAGCAGCTGGCGCAGCCCCAGGCAGCCGCTGCCCTGAGGGAGCGTCTGCTGCGGGCGCTGCGCCAGGCGAGAGACTTTCCGCGGATCGATGTTCCCGGGTCGGGTGCTTGGAGATCGAGCCTTCGGTTGGTTCCCAACTCGGATAGGGTTTTTAAAGCATGAAGTCAGAGATAGATTGAGCATGGAAACGGGGCGCAGAAGACAAATTTAACCTGGCCTGGTTGAACAAAGAGACCGGGTTTTTGAAGTTTGAACTTAGAGGTAGATTGACAAGCTTGAAACGGGGGCAAGCAAACTCCCTGGTTGCATCACAGACCACTTTTCAACCCTTCGGGCTTCGGCTACACGAAAAACGACTCAGTCGATCGCCAACTGCGAAAGCGCCCAATGGCCATGCTTTCGGAACTGTGGCCAACGAGGCCGTGGGAGAAGAAAAGCGAGGAGCTCCAAAATGGACGGCTCCCAAAAACCCAGGTGGTCCACCCTTGTGGGGTGTGTGTTTTGGTAGAAGAGGAACACTTGGCGCCCGTTTTGTTGGAGCCCATGTTTTTTGGAGATCAATCCGGGTTCGACGTCTCGCGCCTGGAGGCCACTGGCAAGGAGGCGCTGGACGCCAGCAGCTTCTCCCTTCAGTGGGAGCACGCCCTGGTGCCGGGGGCCTCAGCGACCGAAGCCATGGGCCCTTTTGTAGTGGGGTGTTCTACCAGCTGGTGGAATAGAGGCGTTATAGCAAGGCTTTTATAAGCCTTTACCACAATTTTAGTAGAACCAAAGCGTAGGGATCACAAGTAAGAACGAACAAATGCAAGTAATACCAGGCAGCTTGCATCCTCAAACAAAACACTAATGCATGTTTTCAGCTTGGGCCAGCCTAGAACCGCCAAAGTTGCACATGCTTTGTTTGGGCAGTTTACCAATTTGCGTTGTGATTGCTCACGTTGCCAAGCGCACAAAGCAATTTGCGCACGTTCAGCTTTTCGGGCCGCGTGCATGAGCAAGTGTCAATGCCGTGCTGGACCATACTTTTGCCACACGCGCACACATGCCAAAATATGTTATATAGAAGGCCTGGAGTCATTTGTGTGCACGCATGAGCATGTTAAGCACAACCTCTCAAGCTCACCAGCTCAGCAATGTATCCACGCCTGTCGGAAATCCGGACTAGTGTATCCGGAGCTTTTTGATTACATGTACTCCTATCAATGGCGGTTCAATTCAAAGCCAATCCTTTGGCGACAGCTGCCAGATTTGTTACATCCATGAGAGAAGCACGCAAAGCAGCTGCACCGTGTGCATGTTGTTGTTGGAAAGGGCTTTGAGATGGTTGCAAAGCCTTACGCGCTCTTAACGTGGACGCGACCTTGTTACTGCCCTTTTCTGTTACTACTCCGCGGCCTCAACCCAGCGTTGGGTTTTGGGTGCAGATCATTTGGGATCAGAGGCGTCAAGTGACTGCAGAAAGTCCAGGTCGGTACGGGCGGAAACAAATACGCATTCCATCGCAATCTGTCAGATGGAAACGGTTGGCGATAGTTTCATGTGCTTGATTAGTAGTGTAACTTGGTGGTTCCAGCCGTCGATTTAGTTTTTTTAGCTTTTTGGAGTTTGGTGGGGGTTTCCATTTAAATCACCAAAAGCTCGGATAGGTTCACCATGGCGCATTTGCAGTCACTGCCAAAAGGCTACGAACAGGTGGACACAAATGAACATCATTTATTCAGATGATTGCGCAAGATGACTCAACCAGCCGCCCGCCTTCTTGCTGCTCTGCACCCCCGGAGACTCCCCCACCGCACAATTTCGGCTACGTTATCAGAGTGGGGGCGTGACTTTGAAAACGACTGACCCCAAGAAAGCTGAGAGAAACATTTCGCCCAGGTTTGAGGACTGCCCACCCTTGCTGGGCTTCATCTCCAAGAAGGCGTGCAAGGGACTGAGCGGTCGTTGCCATGTCGACTCACCGATGGTCATGCTGCGAGTAGAAGCAATTTCAAGCGAACGGCCGGAGCTTCGAACCATCTTCCATTGGCCTGGAATCAGCATATCTGAAACGACTCTCCGGCGCCTTCGCTCCTGTGGTTCCCGTCTCATGGCTCTAGAGTTCCCAAGAACAGCACGCCTGGAGACTAATCGACATGGGACGAATGGGAAGGCTCCCATGCTGGCGATTTCAGATGTGCTGAATTTGTGCCTTGGATAGCCGGACCAGCTTCGCCAGGACGCACAGGCGATCCTGGAGTTTGACGAGCTCAAAGAGTTGCAGCTTGAGCTCGCCTGGTGCGAGGAGGGCCGCCGTTTTTTTGTTGGGGGGATTTCCACGACGGATTTCCTCATGAAGATCTAAGCCAGCTGGAACCCCCTTAACTTAAACCAGCCCCCAGCAACTCCCAACTGCCACCCAATCAGAGCCAATAGGCAACCCCAGGTCCAAGTGATGCTGGTGATGCTGGGGATGTTGCCAGCCCTGCGGGAAAACCAGCCCTAGGAAAAAACCAGCCCTAGTTTAAAAATAAAAACATAAAAAACACCAATACCTTCCACGGCTTCGCGGTTTCAGCAACTGAACTGAGGGTCCTCAGCATTTGGTGCAAGACAAGTGCTGCTTCACAGGAGGAGAAGTGGATCAAAGGGCACGCCGGGCGCCCAGAGATAGGCTTGAGCTGAGTTGCAACTTTCAGAGATGGGGAGTGAAAAAGCATGGCTGTGGGTCAACACCCTGTACCGCTGGTGAACCTCAAAATAGGCGGTGCATGGGTTTTCAGCCGCCCCAAAATTGTTCGGCATAGCAGCATAGGTTATCACCCAAACCAATGCACCCATTTTAGTCTATGTTAGTGGGGATTGGGATGTTCACTGGGGGTACGATTTGGATTTTGACCCATGGCCACATGGTTAGATCGGTGTGAACCAAAATGTGCGCAGGAGCCGGTGCTGAAGCCACGGGCGGAGCCGCAAAGTGCCCAGCCAGTTCCGCCCAGAGCTTCCCGAGGCGAGGGTAGCATTGGGTCGCAAGGGAGCCGCACCTCGCCGTGTCCGAAGTGGGTTTCCTGGCAGCCCGGGAAAAAAAGAAGTCAGCATCTTGTATTGATACCTTCCCATGTCCCAAGTTTTGCAAGTATACCCATGCCTCGCAAGATCAAAGGCACTGGAGTCTGGAGTTTCAACACGAGGTGTGGTACTCGTAGGAATCGGGCCGATGGGCTGAAGGAGACCGGACATGCGCAACCCCAGGCAGCCTTTATCTTCTTGAAAGCTTGGATGCGCGGATAGGCAGGGCTTTCCGTCGGGCGTTCACAATTGGTTGACTGGACGCTGTCGTCGTTGCTTGTCCTACCCAACGTGCCCCTTCTTCCGCTTGGATGAACATGTCAAATGGTTGTTGATGAGATGTGCTACCATCAATTTGATTTGGCTCGGAATTTCTACATGTCTCCGGCAAAGAGAATCGGAGTCACCAAGCGATGTATATCATGTGCTGAAGGTGGACGCAAATGTTGTGAAGGTGGCTCAGGTTCGAACTGACTTGACAATGAACGCTGCCATTGAGCAGTTTCAGCAACCTCAGCCGTGAGCAGCGCAGGATGCTTGCCACTGTATCAACCCCCGCCCGCCCGCCCGCCCACCCACCCGCCCACCCACCCACACCGAGCTTCCTTTCGGGATGTGCTTGATTTCCATGGCTCAGATGCAGCGCCTTCACACACAACATAGTTTCATGAGTTCCTTGGCCAGCCCTGCTTTTGCCGACCACCGCTTCTCGGAAGCGAACCTGGATGCTGCAAAAGCAGTCGTCAAGCAATTTAAAAGATACAGGATCTGACATGATATGCTAGCAAAAATCCGAATTTGAGTTCGTCATGTTCAGGCAGAGTTGAGACCTGGGACATTGGTGCTACTTTTTCAATTGATCACGATAGTATGAACTTTGTCGGTGCTTGCGGATGTGCGCGTGGATGCTGTGCGTGGGAAGAAGTCAAGCTAGGGAACCCTCCGAACGGATGGCTTTATGGTATGTAACTTTCTTCAAAGTGAGCCAGCCAGGGTCCGACTTGGCCTTTGTATTGGGGTTTCTGCCATCTCCGGATTGCGAGTCAGTCAGGTCATTCTGTTCATCGATGTGTGGCTTATCCCTACGGCAATGGTCCCGTGTTTGGCAATGTCTCAAACCTTCGGCTGTTCAGGTGGTCAGCTGTACGGCGCCAGCTTGCCGTTTTGCGGTTTTTGTCTTGGCCGCCGGACTGGTCTGGTCTGGGTGGTTGGGCCATGTGAGGCGGAAGGCACGTGAAGGAGCCGGCTTTCAAGGGCCCAAAGGAGGTGCCGAGGGAGCGGCAGGGAGCCAAAGGTTGGACTCGCCAAGAGGCTGCTCAGCGAAGGGAATGATCCCGAATCCCCTATGGTTTCCTTCAAGGGAATCTAGGTTCATTCCCAACACCCTGAGACATTCCCTGAGCACCGGCAAGACAAGTCATGAACATTTGGGCCCCAACAGATGTTTTGCTGCTGTTTTGGAGTTTGGGGCCCCGGGAGGTTCACTGGTAGTCTTTGCGGGAACGGGTCAGCGAGATACTTGACCAGATGCTAGCATTGCCAAGTCCTGCTAGACTTCGGCTAGAACCTGGCGTCTTTCGGGATTGCACTTCCGGATCCTGGACATGGAGATGAAATGGTGGGTCAAAATCCAAATCGTAGCCCCAGTGAACATCCCAATCCCCACTGACATAGACTAAAATGAGTGGTGAATTCGCCTACCCCAAAATGACCCGCAGCCGAATCCGACCTCACCACGGAACTTGAAGCGCCACGCGCCGCGCGTCTCGGGTCTCGGGTCTCGCTTCCACGGGCTCCGAGGTCGAGATCCAGAACAAAGCCTCGGGTCCGGCTGCTTCCCGACCCCAATCGCGCGAGGCGGGGCTGGCCGACTCTCCTCCGTGGGTACGGAGGAATCTTTGGGTGGGCTGTTCAAAAGGAAGGGTGGGCACTCCTTTCTGGCATCGGCCGCCGAAAAAAGGGAGATCTGTTGAACTTGATTCTGGCCATGTTCCTCTCTTGGCATCAGAGAAGCTACCTGCGGAATTTGGGCAACTTTTGCAGTCACTTGCATCCTACTTCCTCCATCATGGTAGCATAGTTGCCTTGTTTTCTTGGACGCTGACTCTTAGCAGGCTCGAGGGTGGTACTTCTGCATCTCAGGAACACACACAAAGAAATGATGCTCAGGGTCATCTAAGGGTCTGAATTGGTCGGTACCCTCCTATGTTCCCCGTGAAGGTAGAGAGCATACTGTTTGCGTCCTGCCAAGGTTGCTGCAGGAAGACTCCTTCCAGAGGCTGGGGAGGGTGGGGTGGAGGGCGGACAAGGGGTTTCACTTGCGCTGAAACTGGCCAGCAAGCATAAAACCGACCCCACACCAAGCGTAACACCAAGGCCAACCCACGCTAAACCAAGCCTAAACCCGCCTCAGATCAACCCAAACCAAGCCTAAGCCAAGCCAAAATCCTCCCATCACAACTCCACCACAATAAGCCATGGGAGCAGATAGTCCTGACCATGACCATGGGGATTTTACATAATATTATATATATATATATACATTATACATAGATCATGTGTGTGAATTTATGCGTACGCACGCGGAACCTTTCAGTTTCAACCTCCAAAGACAGACCAAGGATCAAGCTACAAGGAGTTTCTGGCCTTGACGGGTGCCCGCGTTGCCAGCCCTTGACCAGGCAACTCAAGGAGGGTTCCCCGAGGCAGGGAGTGGCCGGGGGGCGGGGGGTGGGGAAGCAGAATTTTAGGATTTCCATTTTTTTCGGACCGAAACCAGTGCATTGAGATCATCCAAAAGCCAGGCCTCTTTATTTGAAGACATGCTGTTGATGGAGTCCTCTTCCTCACAAGCCAACTTTGTCTGTTGCACACACAGCCTGAAGGAAGCTTGAGCGAATCAGGCCATGGTTTGCTCAACTCTGCAGTCGATTGAGACTGGATGTAAACAAGGCGACAAGTTGCGGGCTTCCAGGGCATGTTCATATGCACAGCGAGCGATCGACAACATTGCCAATTAGACGGGTCCATTCTTGTTTTTTGGAAAGAACACCCAGACAGAAGGGCAAAGCTCTTGCCTTGCACAAATTACGTCGGTGTGCACCCATGAGCCACGAAGCCAAGTTGGGCTGCGGCGGGAGTTTCTACGAGCAACTTCGGAACTGCATTCGTTGGGATGTTTGGGGCCGCAGAGCATTGAAAGCATAGAGCATGCAAGCTCGGACTCTGAACATGGCATTGCGCGTCCATCAGCTCGGGCGGCCTTCGGTATTTGTAGTGCGCGGTGTGCAAATCCGGGGAAACCGTGCTTGTGCTCGGACAGGTCCAGGCTTTGGGATCATGCAGACAGAGGCAGCAGGCCGGACATATGGATTGAAAGATGCGGGTTTCGAGTAATTACCATGCATTTGATGGGGCGAGACTGGGCTTGGGGAATATTGAGTTGGGAATTCAGCATCGTGTTTGTTGGTGTGCGGAGGTGCAATGCCTGACATGAGCGGACTCTTTCCGAAGCCATTGGTGTGCCTCAATAGGGAGCCATTGGTTGTTTTGCTGGACCCTGGCTAGGGACGTTTTGGATGCCCCATTTGCGGAGCCACACATTGATTCGAGTTGGTGATTCCCTTTCGCCTTCCCAGGGCGCGTTTGGTGCGCGTGGACCGGCGCTCGGACATCAACTGCTTCCCGCAGGAGCTGCCCAAGGCAGGCCAAGCCTGACCGCCCTTTGATCGGACACCCCAGTACCCCTGATGTGACAGTCACCTTGTATGGGTAGTGATTGAGGACTCCAGTTTTGCCGGCTTTGAAGGGTCCAACAAGCAGCTCAGAACCCAGTTTGCAAGGGCTGCTGTCACCCTCGCTAATCAAAATTTGCAGGTTTCGCAGGTAGGTGGCACCAGCCCCAGGTGGCTTTTGATCAAGACGGCGTGCTGGTGGTGGAAAGCTCAGGTCTGGCCAAAGGCTCCTTACAGATTTGTTCAAAGGGAGACACGACCCTCCGAGGAAGCATAGGAAGCCTTGATCATTGAGATGCCGGATCAATGCCAAGTCATGGAAGAGCCTTTGCTTCCTTGAGGCAACTATCAGCTTGTTGTCAATTTGCGCCAAAACGCTGACCAACAGCAACCAGCTTCAGCCCTCTCCCGAAGTGATGCTGTTTGGGTCTGATGCTGGACCAGTGTACATGGTGAGTCGAATTGGCTTTCTCAAATTAGTCGGTCCATCTTTGGTTTGGGGTTTCTTCGTGGCTTGCCTCTTGAGTCATCCAAGGGGGCGTTTAGAGACATTGCACATTGAGTTGATTGGCCTTTCAGCATTCAATCGCTCAGACCAAATCATTTGCATTCCGAGGTCTACAAGCCTGCTTTCTGGACTATGACCACATGCGTGGACAGCGCACGTCATGTTGTCACTCAAAATGTGTTGAGAATACGCTCCTACATGCGTGTGCCGCTTTGTCTTGGAGTTGAATTGGGTTGTTTGTCCAGTTCCATTTTCCGGAAGATCGGGATCGAATAAGAAGCCTGTCTCATCGATTCGCCCGGCTCTCGAGCAGGAGGGCGTCATGAGCCACAGGCACACGGCACTCCAAGACTGGATCAGGGACAATCTGGGCCGAAGGCGGGGGGGTGGATGCGTCGAGCCGGGTGTTTTTGGGGCATTGGGTGGATTGAGAAGAAAGGCTTGAATGTCCGGAACCTCTTGGGAGCTACTGACAATGCTTTGCGATGTCGTTTGGACGAGCAAACAACAGGAAATGCCTTCCCTGAAAAAATCCACTGGTGAAGAGGACGCCCTGGATTGGAGCCTGAGCTCCAATCGTGCAGCCAGCAGGTGCTTGCAGGCGGATGGTTGTATATTTTTAACCCAAAAGGGTTTCACGGTTTGAGCAAGCATTTGGGGGTTCTTGGAAGGCCCTTTTGCCAATCACAACGATAGTGGCTGGCGGTGGCTCTCTTCAGCAAGGTAGGGTTGCGAGAACCCTGGCAACGTTGTGTTTTTTCAAGCTCGCCCTGAACTGTATGCTTGTGACTTGCACCTCCATGGCGGTCGCCCTTTGCAGCGAAGCCAGGCGCGCTTGTTCGTTCTTGGGTTTGAGCGTGGCCAAAGGTACCCCTGGCTTCACCAGAACGAACGCGCCGGCTTGATCCATCGCTTGGATGCGCCTTGGTAGAATCTCGCAGCCCGGCGTTCGACGTTTTGCACGGCAAAGTTCAATGCTCTGAAATGTGTGGGTGTGTCTGTGTGTGCGCGCGCCCTTTCGCTGAAAGAGGCCAAACTGAGACCGACCCTTTGCCTGCAACCACCCCCTGTCCCTGCAACCACACCCTGTCCCTCAATGAGTTGATGACTGCTCCGCACTCTTGAAAACCAGGGGAGCTCATTTGTGGCACGTTTTGCGGGTCAGTCAACCTATTCGTTTACGAGTTGCAGAGCCTTTGCTTGAGTCAGCAGTCCTTGAGTTGCGCTCACCGTGGAAATGCCTTCCAAGCAGTCCTTGATTGTTTGCGCTTCGGCTCGGTCCTTGATTTGGCTTTCCTGTTTGGCTCTGTATTTTGCGAGCGTGAAATGGCTGACAGGCCGCTCAACTTTGCGCATTCGATTTTGCACGAACTCTTGTGTCCCTTCTTTGCAAAGTCCTAAAGGGAACGGGTAGTTGAGGAGAGGAGCTTGAGAGTTGATATTGAGGGTAGCCTTTTTGGGCCGAAAGCAAAAGGAAAACCACCATTTTTGGGAGTCCCCTAAAGAAAAGGACACAACCATCTCAAGCCAGTTTTGTTATTGCCTGGGCCTTTGCTTTCCACTTCAAGCAGAACTAATATTTGCTTCCATTTGCGAGCAGACGAAGGTCTGACGAAACGTTTGAGGCGTAGCCACCCGGTGAGTGGTTCATCCCATGGCTTGATGTCATGTAGCATGTTGCCCCAGAGCAAATGGCCTTTGGCTCGAAGCAAGTTGGTCCCAAATGGTAGTTAATGCAATGCTTCGACGGGGTTCCAGTATGTCAAAGGAAACGACGCGTATTGCGGAGTACATTGATCTGTTCTGCTGAGAGCACCAGGTGGTTACCTTGTTCGCCGTTGCCGATGTGGTCGGAGATGCATGTGGCTGCCCACAGCATGTCTTGAGTGTGTTTTCAACGTGCGCGTGTGCATTTTTTGCGCAAGGGTTGCTTCGCCAAGCGCTGGTTGCGCTGGTTGCGCAGCTCCGCCGCGTCAGTGTTGGTGTGGAAGCTTTCCGGGTGAGCGTGCTTCAGAGGGGCCACGTGCCCAGCGCTGATCGCGAGATAGCGGTAGAAGCGCAAGGACTGCAGCCGAGGCACGTCGTGTATCCCAGCCTCGCGCTTGGCGTAAGCTGTGAACGAGTGGGGGCGTCCATTTGGTCCATTCGCCGCCGGTGTTTGTTTGCCCCTGTGAGGTTTGCGCAGTTTATTTGATCGGAGTGGGATGTGCAATGCTGATAGCCAAGGTGCAAACCAGTGGCCCCATCATCGCTGGTGGCCACCCGAAGGCTTTCAAGCAATTGCGAGAGAGCCTCCACGTGCATAAGTTCTACAAGGACTGTTGGTTAACTTGGATGCTTTGAAAGAGGCTTGCCATGGTTGGTTCACACTGATTGTGTTTGCCGTTGTTTCCGTTGCAGGGTAGGTTTTGGTTAAGAAAAGGGGCGAGTTGTGGGCGTATGGAGGCCGTCTTCGGGTTTTTTTTGTGCGGGCTGCCTTAGGGTTGGTTGTGGCTTCATGCGTAGCTTTTTCTGGCATTGTGTTTGCATGGTTCAGCATGTTCTTGCATCTTTTGGCATGTTGGCTTTGAGCAGGCCCTTCCCCATGAGTATCCTGAGTATGGAAGCAGTTGAAGCTTTCGTCAGGCTGGAAGACTGCGGATGACCGCGCCACATTTTGTGTTGAATCGTGCAGCTTTCCGACTGTTCGCTCTAACTTTTCGATTCACCATTTGGATGCTTGAGTGCGCTTCGGATGTTTATAGCCTTTCTAAAGTATGTGAGATTCCGATTTTTTCCGATTTTCGTTTTAGCGGTCCGCCTTCTGACTTTAAGCCTTTGACGCAGTCTTTCGAGTTTGACGTTTTACTTCTTGGCATGTCTCGTCCCCTTCGCTAAGACCAGCACAAACCGCAAGGTCACCGGGCGCTGGAGGCAAGTTGATGACTGAATTTTTGCCGCCCTGAGTTTTCTTGCTTTTTCAAACGGAGATGTCCAATCACCGCACAACTTGATGCAAGTTGTTGCAGGAAGCTGAATATATTAATGTTGGTTGAGCGGACCTGGCCTTTGTCAGAGGGCCCCAGAGGGCTCTTTGTTCCAGCTAGGGGCGAGGGAGGATCCAGCCGGCTGTCAAACCTTTCTGGCACTTGAGGAGTACATTGCCCTCATGCACGGCGCGCTGCCGATCCGTTCCTGCTGCGGAGAGATGGACTACCCACTGCTCACCACAAGGGAGCGAGGCCAACGCTGAATGTAGGGTGAACGATGAGTCAGTCATGAGATATGAGTGATGAATGACTCCCAAATATAGGTTGGTTGTCAGTGGGTCATGAATGAAGCTCAAAGTGACTTGTTTCTTTTGGCCCTGGTTCTCAACGATGTTCCTGACTCCCATGACTCCCCTAGCGGCTTTGCCTTAGGAAACTGCTTGGTAGACGCTGTCTGGTGTTTTGTTGTGGCCTCGAATGGGCAGCTCTTGACTACGGAACTGTAGAACAGAACTAACGATTTCCTTTGTTCGGTTTGTGTGTGTGTGTGCGCGTGACATGGGGTGTGTCTTGTATTTCTTTTCCTGCTTCCTCACCTCCAATGCACAATTGCACAGTGGAATGTCCAAAGATCAGGAGTTCCTGAGGAACAGACCCCAAAAGGCCCAGAAGCTGTCCCCCCGCACCATTCGATGGAGCCTTGAGAGGGCATCCCATGCCAGGCTACGCCGGCTGGCGCACCGTAGTGGACCCCTCAGGCCAACAGGCGCTCACCAAGTACGAGGCTGGCGACCTTCCCCAACTAAGCCGTCCAGCTTTGAACCTGAGAACCTGGATGTTTGGCCTTTATCGAGCTGGGGAGAATCGACGCCATGAACCAAATTCAGGGTTGGCGCAGAAAGGGAAGGAGATCAGTTGGGCTCGGTACCTGCTAAGTGTTGCTGTAGGTGGGCCAAGAGGCTCACTTTCAGTGCTGAAGATGCACATCTCAATGTGGAAACGGGAAGCGTAGAGCGAAGAAAGAAAGCAGAGTTCTGTGCCATGAGCTTGGCAACGAATGTGCACATGGGCGTCGGTCGAACACATTCTCGACAAAGCACAGCTGTGAGCAGGGAAATCAGCTGAGGCTTGACTGAGAAACACATGAATGCACGAAAATGGCACGTCTTCGTTAGAGGCGACTCTACAGACTTTGGAGGATATCGTGGAAGCCGCGCTTCGTCCTTGTCTTGCTGTCTGTGAGCTATGTTGGGTTTTGCTGTGTCGTCAACCTGGGTGGACGCTGTCAGTCGCCGGATCTGACAAGGGGACCTGGAAGATTGTTCCCGCTGCTTCTCCCCTTCGTTTTTAAAGCTTTGTAGAGATTTCATTCGAATACATAGGTGACATGTGCCGTCTTTTTTTGGCCGACAAAGAGGGCCACGATGTCATGATGTCACGGCAAATTACTTGAAGGTCATTTCGGCGCCAGGCAGTGGCGGCGTACAAGCTCATCCTTGGTCATGGGAGGACCCAGCGCTACACGCGCCTCGGTGTCAGGAAGCGGCAAGGGGTCAAATTGGATGTCGGTTGCGTGTGCCCAAAGGCAGCTTGACGCTGGCCGGAAAGCCTGCAAGGAATTGCCCTCACGAGACAGGTCTGCAGGCCAAAAGGCTTTCGGAAGAGAACCCAGCTGCTTGCAGCTCAACTTCGGCCGCAAGATCCACGTGTTCCGCGGTCCCTTCAACAGTTCCATGGTACATGAAACATTCGATGCCAAACGGCTTTGGGAATTCATGAGAACATCGAGCACTGGAGGCAACCAAACAGGTCACCCGTTGCGTCGTCTCGAGTTGCTGCCTTCCGCCGCCTGCGGTTTGAGGTTGGTACGCCTGCAACTCATCACTGGCAAGACCCATCAGATCAGGCGCGGAGCCCTGCGGGGCCTTCGGCTGTTTGCGTGGCCGCTCTGAAGCCTTGGTCAGACGTGTTCATCCCATCAGTCTGGCCATGTATGACACAAATCGGTTGAACATGTGAGGCTTTCCACTCATTGACTGTCAAGCGAAAGCGGTTCTCCACTGCGAAACGGCCAGAGTTACATCGCCATGATTCCAACGCTTCGGTTGCCAGAGCTCGACTTCGGAGCTGCATAGCAGCCCATTTGCCTGGTGGTGAGTCAAGGGACCCGGCAGATGTGGCCATGGGTCAAAAGCCAAATCGTGGCCCCAGTGAACATTTTGAACCAACCACTAAAATAGGTTCTGAAATGGGTGGTGCACCGAAAATCCCAAAATGGGATCCCATTGGTTTTGACAACCACAGCCATGTGGAGATCTGGAGATTCAGCTCACGGAGCCAGGGTGCACCTCATGGAGCTGGCGCGTCGGGAGAATTTGAAGGCTCCCGCGGAGTCGGTGGCTTTGGTCATGTCCATACATAGGTGTCCTTTTTAGATTAGTTTGGTTACGAATAGAAGGTTCTGGTTTAGATTTGTTTGATTCCATTTGCCAGGGCCATCGATTTTTCCAAAAGGACACCTATGGTCAGGTCTGGTGGAAGTGGTTTGGCAGGGGCAGGTGATGCTTTTTTTGTCCAATGGACCTTGGTCGTTCCTTGGTTCAAGCAGACGATTGAAAGGCGCTTCTATGAAGCAGTTCGTAAGAGCCGAGATTCACACCATCACTGTCAATGCGATGATTTCGTTTCTGGGTCCCCAGGTTGCGGTTGATGATGTGCGTGTTGTGATTCGTGATTCCCGAAGGTGTCACAGGGGTTTGAGCAGGGGTGGTCGATCAGTTTCTGAGTCATATTCCATGGTGAATGATGCACTATTTGCCCGAGATATCTCAATACTCACAATACTCACATGGCCCCGCAAGGGAAAACCATGGTTGTTGTAGTGCCTGTTGCCAGTTATTGAGTCGGCCACCTTTGCCACCTACACCAGTGTTGCCTATGCCGGTTCGGCTACTCGCCAAAGCACTTGTTTGGCTTTTGATCCCATATCTGGAGAAGCAACATCTCGACATGTGCGGCCCGGCTTGTTCCTCTCTAGAAGAAGTTGAGTCTGGTGCATGCCCACTGGAAGTTTCTATTTGATGGTTTCCCTGGCAAGAGTGACCAGGCTCTCTCTCTCTCTCTCGCGCACACACACACAGACATCCACTTGCAAAGGACACACTCAGAGAACATCGCTCAAGAGCTGTCCAGGGGGCGTGTGTTCGCGCATACTCATCCTTTGTTCTGCTTGAACGCAAAATGCCAGGCACATTTCAGTCCCAAAGGGAGAAGGCTTTAAGCCACTTGATTCCATTTGGCTCGATCCAGGATCTTAGGAGCTGGCCACCTCAGCGAGAGCCACATTGATGTTTGCTGGAAGGGTTTGAGCTGCGCAAATGCCTTTACATCCTCCCGCTTGCCAGACTCATGGCATCGTGGGCGATTACAAGTACTTGCCGCCACGTAGCGTGAAGCTGGACAAGAGGCGGTGGTGTAGAGAAGTTGGTAAATCATGATATGAACAAAGTAAGGCTGCCTTCTTGCTTGAAACGGAGCCGCGCATTCTTTGTGATTGGTTTGCGTCCAGGGTCATGACATAGCCCCGGGTCGAGCTGAAGTTTCGAGAACTGTCGGAATGGGATATGCCAATGTCTTGCTCGTTGGGCGCAAGGCTTCTTCGAGTTTGGTCACCAGGCTTTGGATGCGACTGCGCCAATTTGCGCTGATGTTTGGGTAGCAATGCACCACTTGCTTGAGATGGTGCACCGGGGTTTTGCAGGGGCTCGTTCTGCTTTGGGCTTCTTCTGCTGCATCTACTAAGGGTCCGCAGCGCAACCACTGGGTGCCCTTACAACAAGCGAGGTAGACCCTGCTTCGCTCAAAGCTAAGAAGCGCGGAAGCGATTTGGCTCCGCGTTGGTCGCTTTGACGAGGCCTTGAAGGCAGGTCCGCAGGCCGCGTGCCAGGCTTTGCCGCCGTGTCTTCTTGCATTGCTATCGCCTACACTTTCCTCTTCCGGACACCAAGGAGCCGCATCGCACAACAGCCGGGGAGACCTGGGAGTGGGACTACTTGCCCGACCACCCCCTGATTTGAGCATTAGGCCGACAGTGCTCAAGCTTCCTGGCCAATATCAACTGAGCCAGCCAAAAAGGAGGTTGCTTGCCCCTCAGGTACAAGTGCATAGTTACTCTTCTGGATGAACCAGTTCGTTGCAAGCACAGCCTGCTCCACTTTGCCGTAAACCCGAAGCCCTTGTGCTGCGAAAGGGTTCGCACAAGGAAGCCCCGCCTTTTTCCGTCACATGATAGGCCCTGCGGCATTTGGTGAATGGCCGAATGATTCTCTGGCCAGGAGGAGATGTGCAAAATCCGTTGCCCCTTGCCCTTGGAGCTGACGCAAGCTCTCGATCAGGTTGTCTTGGACAGAAGTGCCCTGGCCGCACCCAGCCTGGTTTGTGCCCATGTCGGTGGGTCTCCCGGACCAGCCAGGCCAGGTCCCAACGGTCTGGGCCCTCTTCAGCCAAGTTGGCCCTCTTAGGCTTTTCGTTTCCAAACTGATCCACGCATCCCAGTGTCGCAGTCCTGTCGCATGGTGTCCCGCCTTGTGCGCGTGAGTTTCCGGAAGCCAAGGCTTGTATACATGCATCATATATACATACACACATGTACATATATGTATACACATATATCTATACACATATATATATATATATATATTTTTCCCCCTCCCCCCCCATTGGACCCTGGTTTTACTGCCTTTTGGGGATGGCAAATCTAGAATTTCAACATTTATATTCTCGAAATTCCAATTGTGGGTCCCCAAAGCGTGATAATTTGGAGCCCGGAGTCCTGCACAATGTCCCAGTGTGATACCCTTTCCAAATAAGATGTTACTTCAACTAGAATTGGAATTTTGAATATAGTTTAGTAAGGATATAGTTTTCAAACATGTGTTTATGTTCAATTACAGCTTAAACAAGCAAATCCTTTCCAAATAGCAGCTACATGAAAATGTATATATCTATATATAGGTATCGGCTAAACTCCAACTAATCTATAACACAAGAAGTTAGATGGAGGCTTTTTCCCAAATATAATCCACGTGTTAAATATAATCCAAGACGAGCACAACTCAATTTGCTTTTGATAATATCAAGTGAATAGAGACTACATCTCAAATATAATTCATATTAAATATGGCTAAACATTTAAGGGACTTCTACAAGGAAAATCAAAACAGTGTTATTTACATTCTGGCCCTTTTTGTAGCATAAGAAAGGTCCGACATTGAACTTGTTAGACGGTGTTCCAAAGGGAAATTTTAAGGGAAGAGAGGTTCAAAATCTAAAACTATCTCGAAACAGGGATTCTAGCTAAACCGTTGTACTAAAGTTCTATTTGCGCAGGAAAGTTATTCTATCTCAAAAGGTGGAGGTAGTAGATGAGAAAATGTGGACAGGTAGTTCAAGAAGGTGGGGGACGGTGTGTGAACGTACATAATATGTATATGTATGTATATATACACATACATACACGCATATATATATATATATATATATAGATAGTACCCCCAATGATCCTGCGCCTCCTCATAAAATACTGGAACATACAGTATTTTTGAGCGTTACACCTGCCTTTGTATACCTCCTGGAAAGGGGTCAACATGAGCATAGCTGATATGAAGCTCACCAAAAGCACTTGAAAGTTTGCATGCAAATAATTGCATGAAAGTGCCCTCGGTTCCCCGATATTCGAGAAACTACTGAAACAGCGAATCTGTGCATTTTCGTGTCCAAACCCAGACTCAAATATTTTTGCCCCAAACCCCCCCAATAGTTTGGCGGGCACCCTTCTAGACCCACATAGCATTCAATCTACAAACTATCCTTCCATCCTCTCCGCTGAAACTCGACTGAAGGGCGAGAGCTCGAACAATTGAACTCTTCTTTTCGTGATTTGTGTTTCCTCAAAAAGCTTAACGTTTCAGGTTTCATTGAATATTTCATAAATTGGTTTATTCATAAATCCTCGTTTGAAATAATTTAGCTACGCAATGACGTATTCTATGAGTCCCCCTTGTAAGCTGTAAACTGGGGCCCTCCGAGACTCTTAAAGGGTGTAGGTTCCATGGGGTCTTAAACAATGTTTGACGTGTACGCATATGGAAACCGATTGAATTGGGCGGTGTCTCAACTGATTGTTAAGAGAGAACCACGCAACATTTCAACTCCGTCAGGCCGGGCATGGCCTGGCGGGAGGCTATTTCGGCTCACCCTCCGCACCCAGGTTCTGCACGGATAATGGGTCAGGCGAATGAACTGACTAGCTTTGGCAGCTTGGCAGTCTGGGTGACCAGCAACGGTGAGCTTTTGTTCTGTCGTCATCTCTTCCACTTCCCTTCCTTATCCCGTTACTGTCCGCAAAGGAGAGATCAAGAGAAGAATGGAGGACAGTGAAATCAAAGAAAGCTGGAGCTGAGGCGCGGCAGAAGAACACATGGCATGGGGCGCAATCAGCTCACCTCAAATCTCGCACGGTGTCACGCCCTAGCTCCTTTGATTACCGATATCAAGGTCCTCTCGGACAACAAGTTTGATGTCCACTCGCCTATGCAAATCAAAATTACCTTGCCACATGAACAATTCACGCGGAGGAGATGGCGTCTTCCAATGTTTTTTGCCGAAGCTGGGGTTGATCCGTCCAGGCTTGAAACTTGCTACGTTGAACTCAGGTCGGCGTTCCACATGCCTCAAGAGGCTATCACAGACCCAATCCTTGCTGACGATGCCCTCAAAAGATGGTCTAAGCTTAATGAGGCGGCCTGTGATGCGGCCCTCAGATTGGGGGACCCATCTTCAACAGGCCTGCCAAAAAAATCCGTGGTAGATGCACGATCAGAAAGCTGTTCAGATGCCAATAAGTAAACCACCCCGGGGACGCCATGGAGACTTTGAACCGCATTGTGATTGTAGTGACATTAAGCGTGTCCAGAAAGTGCGCCAAGCCCGCAGACTTGGTTCTCTTTACAGGATAATCCAGGAAACTTGAGATACGACCAAATGTGCCCCTGCAAGCGCAGTTTGAGACAGAGTGGAATGCCATTCTCCGGCTCCTGGATACGGTGAGTCCTTCCGACGCTGGCTTGCGCAATGGCTGGGCCTTTCCTCAATTCCCAACTGCCCATCTGCGGCCGAAATCCTTGAATATAACTAACTGTGGAATATGATGCGGTCTCGTGGGGGCTCAGTAGCCTTGACTCTGGGATTAAAAACAGAAAGTATACCGCTGAACTTGACCGTAAAGAAAACTACTCCAGAAGGGCCTAGAAGCAAACTTGCGACCCACCGGTGACACTGTGAATATCCAGGCAGGTAACTTGCAGCTGAGCTCATTCCTCACAAAGTTTGTGACTTCATCATCTTTTCGTTGCGCAATTCTGGGACCCAATGTGGCAACGTGACACTGCGCTTAGCCAAGATGATCCTGAGTGTTGGAGTCATTTCCGTAAGATTGCAAGCGAACTCAAGTTTCCCACAGAGAGCATGAGTATTGATACCACCGACCCGAAAAGGTGGATCCGTGCCGCCTCGCGCGTCAAAGCCCACACTTTTCAGGGAGTTTGCGGATGGAATGGCGACGAAATCAAAATGCTTCGTCAGCCTCAATTTCAGGACCTTGCTTTCACTGTCTCAGGATTTCAGAAATTGGGCTGGCCAGATTGGATCATTGCTCTTATATCCAAAGTAGATCAGCCAAAAGGCGAAAATGATGGGCGCCCCGTTTCAATGGCCTCTATCCTGCTGAGGTTATGGGCTTCGCTGTGCGCCCGCGAGTTACTGCAGTTCTGGGGTTCGACATTCCCAGCTGGTGTGTCCGGCGCAATACCAGGAACATGCACGGTTCTTTCAACCTACTCACTACAGCGTAAAATTGAAAAAACCATGCGGATGGACCGGGCTAAATTGCAACATCACTAAAGCATTCAAATGGCATGCCACGCTGGCAGGGTAGATGGCTAATGAAAAAACTTGGTGCGCCCGCTGTGATTGTTGATACCTGGTTCCGTAGTTTGGAAAAACTCCGTAGAGTTTTTACAATACATGGTGCACTGTCTCGGGAGGTCTAATCGACCACAGGTGTCCCAGAGGGGGACCCCCTCTCAGTTGTTTACATGGCGGCAGCGTCGTGGTACTACTGTCAGGTTCTCAAGACTGACACCGTTGTTCCACATGCGTATTCCGACGACTGGTCATGGTGCTCTTTTGATGACTTTCGAAGTAATCGTACGGCGCTAGAAAAAACCAAATCCGTGGCAGACTCCCTGTGCCTTAATTTGGATTTCCGTAAGTCCTGGGTATGGGCGGTAAGCACTCAACTCAGATCGAAATGGAACAGCCTGCTCACTGCCGTTCTAGGCCCGGAATCAAGCAAAGGAACCCGGTGCCCATATGCGCTACTCCAAGCAACGCACCGTTGCCACGCAACTTGAGCGGGTTGACTCCGCGCACAGACGACTTAAGGCGGTGCGAGCTAACAGAATCAGGCACGAGCTTGCCGCCCAACTCATACAGGCATCAGTCTGGCCGTGTGCTTTCTTTGGATGCGAGATTACACCTCTGTCTAATGAAAATTACTGTCGGCTGCGTACCAATATTACTAAGGTTGTCTTGGAAGGCTCACATTCTGCCGCCAGCCCGTGGTTGGCTTGTAATGCTTTTCTACACCAGCTCCAGGATCCCGAAGAGTACTGCATTGTCGCTGCAACCCGCACGGCGCGTTGGTACTTGTTGCAACAACCGTGGATTCAGAATCTTTCCTCGCACACTCCGCCTGTCACACGGGTGAGCTTACTGGACCAGCCGGAGCCCTAAAACATTGTGTCAGTAAAGTTGGCTGGCAAATTACCAGACAGGGAGTAGTGCACACTGATACCGTCCTCAACTTCCCACTGCTACTGACATCCACCAAGGAAATTGTCATGTACGTGCACCAGGCGTGGATGAGGGTCGTGTGCCTTGAAACCGCGCAGGTTCGCAGCTTTGGCAACGCTGCCCAGCATGATCCTCAAGCCAGATTTCAAAAAAGCTACGCGTTGTCCAAAGCAGCTGCCCGCAGCGGCAGTTGCCTGACACAAGCTATGGTGACTGTGAGGCAGCAGCGCGGCAACTGATTGGCAGCATGCAGAATTGCTTCAAACAGTATACTAACATATTGACAGAAGTTCACTTAAGTTTGTTTGCTCTACAGTGTGCCCGCGACATCCCGCAACAGCACAATTTCTGGGATGGCATGGCAGGCGTTGCTTCACGGAGCTTCACACACAGTCCCAAAGAGGGCTCAAATTAAGAATACATCTAAAACAATTGTCTAAAGTTCTAAATATTTTACCTGCTTGCCCTCCTCCCAGTCTGTGCCATGAAGTGGGTGG